CACGACAATTTGGAAGAGGGACTTATTTTGCTGGACCGCAAATACAGAGAGGATACGGATTTTTTGGGGATTTATTTCGTAAATCTATTCCTATTCTTAGTAGAGTAGGAAAGTATCTAGGGGGTAAAGCTTTAAAATTTGCATCGAATGTCGGATCAGATGTAATTGGAGGGAAGTCGTTTAAAGAATCTACAAAAAATCGTTTTAAAGATGTACGATCTGAAATTAAGGAAGACGTGCTTAAAAAAGTGCAGACGGGATCGGGTATAAAAAGAAAACGACCGAAAAGATTAACTCAGTCAGAAAAGAAGAAGAAGAAGAAGCGAAAACTTAACGATATTTTTGGTAATTAAGAAACAATGAACGTCCATTCCTGCGGCTGTACCAAGTCCGAATTAGATTTGTTTAAGAATGTTGGAATACAGATGGCTATCGACAATACGTATGAAGTAATCGCTCATCCTGTGGCCGCAATTAACGATAGTAGATCACCTATAGAGTTTCTTATATCAGGATCGGGTGAGCATTATATGGATCTACATTCGATTTATCTATGTGTTCAGGCGAAAATCGTAAAGAAAGACGGATCAAACCTCGGCTTGGAAGAGAAAGTTACTCCTGTTAACTATTTTTTAAATAGTTTGTTTTCTCAATGTACTGTTTTTTTAAATGACAAACCTATAATTACACAAGTTAATTATACGATTGGACACACAAGTTAATACGATTGGAGACAGTGTTCGATTGAAGATGGAGCAAAAGTTCGACTCTGGATTTTTGTGTTGTTTGTGCGGAAATAAGTTTAGTTTAGTGCTGTTTTTAGTATAATTTGTTTTCGGAAGACTAGAGGATACAAACTTATTGCAAGTATAACTGTTAATTTTGTGATTTTGGGGTCATTATTTATCCGATAGTCTCAGTCTTTTTCATCGACTTCCGGGTGGTCATCGAACGCGAATTGCTGGCTTTCGGCTGAAGATTTCCTTATGATATTTACACCCCACTTTGTCGTTAGCATACGTAATCTATCCTGAAAATTTTATTAAAATCCGTCTGACAGTTTTTGAATTATGAAGATTCTAATATCACGTTCGATTTCAACATTGCATATTATTCCATTTATTCCATTAAATTCTAAATTCTAATTGGGGAGGCTTATTTTTACTAGATAATATAAAGTGCTTTATATTTTTGGAATCGGCATTTCATAACAATTCTTTTGATGCTAATTTTCATAAAATTGGATAAGTATATAATCGGTTATTCGTATGTTTTTCCTTATATTTCCCTTCTTTTCAAATTGCTATTTACAAATTATATTATATTATTATTGTGGTTATACTTTATAATTATATATATATATTTACTTATTTCTCTCTATATATTGTATTTCTATTTGATTATTTATTTATGAATTTGCCGTAATGAATTCTGATAATATGGTATCTAGCTGTATAGAAGCATTTTACAAGAATGCACACAATATATTAGATAAGATTAAAACATATATTTCTGAAAATCCAAACGGAAAACTCCATACTGGCGCACACATGCAATATATAACAGACCAATTTCTTGCTGTTATAAAGTTAGTGGAAAATACTTTTCAGAATCTTGAACTTCCAGAAATTTTAGAAAAAAGACTTGCCTCTTTGGCCAAGAAGGAGGATGTCATGCAAAATTCCAACCTTGAAAGGATTCTTGCTACACAGAAAGCTCTTTTTGAGAGACTAGATAAAATTGAAAATAATACANGGAAAATACTTTTCAGAATCTTGAACTTCCAGAAATTTTAGAAAAAAGACTTGCCTCTTTGGCCAAGAAGGAGGATGTCATGCAAAATTCCAACCTTGAAAGGATTCTTGCTACACAGAAAGCTCTTCTTGAGAGACTAGATAAAATTGAAAATAATACAAGGCGCTTTATTACGGTTGAAGAATTTTCAGAGGCTCAGAAGACAACATTGGATAGATTGAAAGAAATTCAGGATGAAACATTCCGATTTGCCTCCCCTGAGGGTTTTATTGACACACAGAAAGTTGTCCTTGAGAAACTGGACAAAATTGAAGATAAAACATTTCAATATATTTCTTCCTGATCACTTTCTAGTACGATTGTAAAGACTGGTGGAAATATGGGCAATAGCAACATTTCTCACAAAACAAATTCATCGAATGAGGTATTACTTGTTTACAGTAAGGACAAGGCTAACAACAATAGTGAAGTTGTCCGAAAACTAATGAATATCAAGATAAAACCCTCCAATATGCACATAGGTATAGAAAAACTTAGGAAAGTTCGTGGTGGGGGACTGGCCATAGAATTGGGAACTAATAGGGATGTAACAGTCTTGGAAAAGACCATAGAAGAACAGATACCAGACTAGTAACTCGAAGACCCAAAAAAAGATGGCCACACGTTGCTATTTATTCTGTTCACAACGAAATAACGAATGAAGACCTTCCTAAATTGATATATCAGCAGAACCATATAATATATGAAAATCTATCTGAGGAAGAATTTATCCGGCAATTTAGATCCAAATTTGTTTTAGGGAAAAAGAACGCTACATATATAAACTGGATAGTGGAAACATCGCCAAATGTCAGAAAACTCCTCTTAAATATGGAAAAAGTTAATGTTGAATGGTCACGCTGCAGAATCGTTGATTTCCATTCGATTCTGCAGTGTTTCAAGTGCTGTGGATATCACCATTCAGCTAGAGATTGCTCGCAATCGGCATATATTTGTAGTCATTGCGCGGGGAGTAATTCTTTCAACGAATGTCCAAACTTAGAGAATGAACCAAAATGCTGCAACTGTTTGCGTAACAATATACATAACAACCAACACAATGCACGGGATGGCTTTTGTCCTGTTAAACAGCGTATTAAAAATTTTATTGTTTCTAGAACTGAATATGGAACCGAATAACTATAATAAAATACGTTTTTTGCAGATAAATGTAGGGAGGAGCATTTCTGCTACCTCACTTTTAAGTATGAATATTAATAATTATGATATTGTGTTGGTTCAAGAACCATATTGCCTCAGGAATACTCCAGCGTGTCTTCCAACTTATTGTCCAGCCCTTCAAGGGACTGATCTGTATCCGTGGGCCATATCCTTAGTACCAAATAGACATATATCAGTTATGCATCACATTGCTTTCAGTAACCAATATATGATTACTTTAGAAGTATTGTTGACGGAAATTCGTCTTATTGTGGTAAACACTTATTTTCCTGGCGATGCTGACTCTGAGGAGTACATTAGCGGTCTTCAGAGAATTGTTGATGCATTTCGGGACTCACACATTCTAATTGCTGGTGATTTGAACGCGCACTCACCCGCTTGGGGTGGCGAAGTCTTTGACCGACGAGGAGGTTTACTTGAGGAATTTTTTATGCATAATGATCTTTTAGTTATAAATAATCCTCTATCTCCACCGACTTTCACCTCTCATAGGGGTGAGAGTTGGATTGATGTCACGGTTGGATGCAGTAGAACTTACACAAAAATTAATAATTGGAGAGTCCTTTCTGAGGACAGTCTTACAGAGCATGCTCTGATCTCTTTTGATCTGTTCAATTCTGTTGACGGGCAAACTCCTGCATATGCTCCACCTTTGAAATATGCCCTAAATCGTGCAGATTGGCTGGGATTAAAGGATTATCTGGAAACACACTTGATATCCTATTATTCTGAGAGTCCTATCGATGCTAGACAACAAATAGACACTAATATTGCATCAATAACACACGCATGTGATTTATATATTCCTAAAAAGACACCACGCAAAAGACGTGTACCATGGTGGACTAATGAGCTTGAAAATCTCCGTCGAACCACTCGACATTTAAGAAGAACCTATCAAAGATGCAGGGACAATCGCATGCGTAACATGCATAGAACTGCATATCTAGCAAGCCAACGACTTTACAAGCACGCCATTAAGACTGAGAAATTACGCAGCTGGCGTGAATTCTGTACTGAGACCTCTAAAAACCCATGGGGCTTTATAACAAAAATGTGTTGTAATAAACTTAGGAAAACTAAAATCATAACTGCACCTAATTCTGAGCCAATGACACTTCAAACCCTGGCTTTACAACTCGAGACTTTTTGCCCTAGAGATGATCCTGAGAACGATTCTGCCTTACAGAGACACATTCGCATGGAAGCTGATCTGATAGATAACACTGAGAATATGCCGCTTTTCTCGGATGGAGAAATTAGCCAAGCTTTCTGGAACCTAGATAAAGGAAAGGCCCCTGGTCTGGACAATATTACAACTGAAATTGCAAAGAAATTATGGTTACTTATACCGCAACACCTTATTCAACTTTATAACTCATGCTTACGCTATGCTGTCTTCCCATGTGCTTGGAAAATTGCGAAGGTTGTACCCGTGCCAAAGCATGGTTCTACTGATACTGCAAGACCCATTTCCCTGTTATCAGTACTGGGAAAAATACTTGAGAAACTTATCACTGGTAGACTCTCCTGGTTTGTAGAAAGAAACAAATGTCTCTGCAACGTTCAATTTGGTTTCCGACCGCAAAGATCTGCGGAAGATGCAATAGAAGACATGGTTAAGAGAACAAAAAGTCTGCTTGAATCTAATAAATATGTTCTAGGAATAAGCTTAGATATATCTAAGGCATTCGATTGCGCTTGGTGGCCACTCATCAAATTACAACTGCGTAAGATTAAGTGTCCAAGTAACATCTTTAGAATTATTCAAGATTACTTACAAGACAAAGTGGCAGTTTTACAATACGAACAGCATCACGTAAGAAAAATTATCTCCAGAGGTTGTCCACAGGGGTCTGTGTGTGGACCCCTGCTTTGGAATATAATCTTCGACAGATTCCTCAGGGAGAATTTTGGACAAGCACATTCGACTGCATACGCAGACGATGTTATGATGCTGCTGGGTGGACGCTCAAGAGCAGATCTAGAGAGCAAGGGCAATCTTATGATTCAAAGGATCTACAGTTGGGGAATAGAGCATAAGTTTCACTTTAACTCCCTTAAAACAAAAGGAATAGTATTTAATAAACCTGGCAAGGCAAACTTGTATCTAAGACCTCCTCATCTAACCATGAATGGTAAAGTTATTAAAGTGGAGAAAATAATAAAATATCTAGGTGTTATCAGTGATTTTCGTTTAAATTGGGATAAACATGTAGAACACATAACTAATCGTACTGGTTTTATTTTGCAGGCTTTTGCACAGGTGGCTAGGAGAGATNCACTTCCATTGTTACTTAACACTTCCATTGTTGATGGAAGTGTTAAGCCTTAATCCTGTCCCTCTCCCCCGTGGGGAGGAATTTCGAAAAATCCCTTCTTAGTGTGCATTCTCCTAACGTACCCTAACTGTGTACCAAATTTCAACTTTCAACTCCTAACCGTTTGTGCTCTGCGCTTATTATTATTATTATTATCATCATCATCAACCCATCTCGATTATATATTAGATTCCTATTTGTTTATTTCTGTAGTCACAAATGCTACCATTTTCAATGGAATAAACTTTATATCTGCTGCTGCTGAAAATTTACAAATGGCTTAATTAAGGTCTTTTGATTCATGCAGAAAATGCTTGACACAAATATTATCTTAATTTAACAAATCTATAATATATAACAACTAATAAAATACAAGTTATTGCAAGATAATCAAGGAATGTTTTATTCTTGTAAAATTTTGAAAATTATTTATCATTTGAAATTGTAAACTGTATTCAGAATATATGAGTAGTAGCAAATTATCAGGATGATTCAAAAGTTCCCAGACACTGACAACACTTTGCAAAATAGATTTCTAATACTGAAAACTTTGCTGTGAATGCAAATGAGTTGGTATTTGCATCATCAAAGCAAATACTATCATTTTACAAAGCTGTTCAGTTCATTCCTTTAGTGAATATTTTTTCCACAAGTAAGAATGACTGGTGAAAAACTCATAATTTGAGGCACTTGCATCACAAGAGTTCAGTGCAAGTGTCAAACAGTGGAGTTAATCTGTGAAATTGAAGGCCCAGGCCTGATGAGCAAAACAACTACAACTGAATGGTTTTGTTTCTTCAACTCTGGAAACACCAGCCTCATAGACAAGAATTGGTCTGCATGACCATTGACCATAGATGACAAAGCACTGCTCTGGCTGTTCAACTGGAGCCAGGCATCAGCACTCACCGACTGTCTGCCAAACTTGGGACTTCACAATAAACCATTGTTCAGCATTTGAAACACTGCTTTTGCAGCAGTAAACTTTGCAAAGTACCCCATAAACTGATGGACAAAGGACAATACAAACTTGCAAACATATGTTGCAAAATCCAAAAGATGACAGGTTATGGCTCAGGATTATAGCAGAAAACAAAAAATGGATTTTTTCAGAAATCCTAAGAGGAAACCAGTGGCTTCGACCAAGTGAAGTGCCAGCACAAGTGGTTCAACAGACAGTTCAAACAAAAAGTCATTCTGTGCATTTGGTGGAATTTCAATGGTACAGTGCATTCTTACATTACAGAATTTACATTACAGAAAGCAATTACATTACAGAAGCAATACAGCGTATTGCTTCTGTAATGTTGTGCTTGAATGGTGTGGAGTGATGTTCCATGGGTGGTGTTTCCACCCATGGAACATCCATTTTTCAGATAGGTATCACGTTCACTGTGATACCTATCTGGTATGAAGATGTTACAGTGGCTGTTATTCAGCGTCCTCTTGTTATTCATTGACAAGTGATGTACCCATTGGATGTAAAGTTGGTGTGAAGTCTTAACAGTAATGGCTTCTACCTTTTATTGATGTGCTCCAACAACAAATATGTCTTCGTGAGTGCCTACAGTGTGATCGCTTATTTGGATCTTCCTGATGTGTTTCGACAATAATGTGCCTCATTGCGAAGTGCTTACTGAAGTGTTGGTAAGAAAAATTATCTCCAGAGGTTGTCCACAGGGGTCTGTGTGTGGACCCCTGCTTTGGAATATAATCTTCGACAGATTCCTCAGGGAGAATTTTGGACAAGCACATTCGACTGCATACGCAGACGATGTTATGATGCTGCTGGGTGGACGCTCAAGAGCAGATCTAGAGAGCAAGGGCAATCTTATGATTCAAAGGATCTACAGTTGGGGAATAGAGCATAAGTTTCACTTTAACTCCCTTAAAACAAAAGGAATAGTATTTAATAAACCTGGCAAGGCAAACTTGTATCTAAGACCTCCTCATCTAACCATGAATGGTAAAGTTATTAAAGTGGAGAAAATAATAAAATATCTAGGTGTTATCGTTGATTTTCGTTTAAATTGGGATAAACATGTAGAACACATAACTAATCGTACTGGTTTTATTTTTCAGGCTTTTGCACAGGTGGCTAGGAGAGATTGGGGGCTCTCCTCTAATGCTATGGCCACTATTTATGACGGTATTTTCATCCCCATTTTTATCTATGCGTGCGGGACCTGGGGCTGGGCTACTTGTAGGGTGCACACTAAAAGGAAAATCATTTCATCACAGAGGCGTGCCCTACTTTTGATAACTAAAGCATTTCGTACCGCTAACAGTCAAAGCCTACAAGTAATAGCCCAAAAACCTCCATTAGATCTAATTATCATGCAAAGGCGTAAATTACAACAAATAAAATGGGGAGAGATGATACAAACGAACTCTAGGAATATAGAGCATGATGACGTTGAATGGGCCTTTCCTTTTCAGGAAATTTCCTACCCGGACATTCAAGTATACTGTAATGATAATGCTAAATAATCTAATATTAATATATTTACTGATGGGTCACGTATTAATGACCTGGTTGGATGCAGCTTTGTCGTTTATTTTAATAATGATGAAATTTATCATCAGACGATACGACTTGACCCTCACTGCACGGTATTTCAGGCAGAGTTGCTTGCTATTCTCCTGGCAATCACCTGGGCAAAGAATGAATATGATAACACGAATATACACATACATACAGATTCTTTATCTGCCCTTAATCTTATAAATAGTGTCAAGTTACATCCAACTGCCGAGAAAATCAGAAAAGTGATACGATCGTCCACCTGCACTTTTACAATTTCTTGGGTTCGTGCACACCAAGGAACTGTTGGTAATGAAAGGGCCGATTTTCTGGCTAAGCAGGCCGCTGAAAATCTCTCTGCCAATAACTTATAACAAACTTAGCCAAAACACATTATGTCGTATTTTGTGGAACGATACTCTTTGCTCATGGCAAGATGAATGGAATGAAAACAGTAACCATATTACATATGAATATATACCTGACATACGATACTTTTATAATTTGAAATGGTACTTTCCTAATTATTATACAACGCAATTATTTACTAATCATGGAAAGTTTGCCTGTTACCTAGCCAGGTTCACAAACAGGCCGTCAAATGAATGTCCAACTTGTCTTGCTATGGATGGCTCGAAACATTATTTTTACGACGTTATTATGTTTGAAAGAGAAAGGTTAGAATTGAAAATACTGATGGAAGAGAATGGAATTAGCTGGCCATGTAAACTCTCGGATATTTGGAGTAGTAAAAACATTTATAATGCTTTTCTTAAACTTGCTAAACAAATTATTACAATTAACCATCAACTCATACATAATTAATTTTCAATTGCATTGGTTTATTATAGTTTGTTCATCCCTTTACGTTAATGCCTTTATTTATTTATTTATTTTTATTGTTTTTGTATAATTGTATCTTGCTCATGCTACTCCACTCACTTCCGCGTATATTGCAATGCTGCTCATAATTTATATTGATTACCTTTTGTGTATATTGGCTTCACTCATATATTTATAATGGTTACTTAATGTCTACCTCTCAATAATTGCATTACGAATAATTTCATTAATTTCAATAATTTCATTACTATATTCATATCTTCAGAATTTAGGTTTATAAATATAAATTCTCACAATTATTTTGAACTATCCTTGCAAAG